AAGACAGGCAGGGATCAGCTCTGCCTCCCCCCCAGGACTCTGCAGGGTACATTCCCACGGGGCACTGCTCGCACATCAACGATGGGGCCTCCAGCGGGAGCAAGCGGGACCACCCTCCGGCGCGCCTCAGGCGGCCACATCAGTTTGGTGGACACAACTTGGAAGCACAGACATGCCCCGAGTCCTGGCTCCGCTCGCTCTCCCAGGGCGCTCGCTTTCCTGCCCTGCAGGGCACCCGGGGAACATGGTGCCCAAGGAGGCGTAGGAGGAAAGTTGCTTTTTTACTCTCGTTCAGCGGCAGCTTGACTGGAATATTCCCCCTGGGCGGAGACCAGGCTGAGAGAAGACGGAGCGAGCTCAGAGCAGCTGCTCCCCCCTCCTCAGCTCTGTCCCGCCCCAAGCGCGTCGGCAAAGCGGGGCTGGGTCTCCCTCGACGGCAGGTCTCGCTTCAGGCTGCCCCCCGCCCCGCTGGCTGGGAAGCCAGACAGGCAGCAATAGAACGTCACCGACAAGGACGTTCACAGGTGGCAATTGCCACCGAGTGCAACCCAGGGTCCCAAAGCACTTTGAAAACAGCGCCAAGTCCGAATCCCAGCCCCATGGGGGGTGCCGCTCGCCCACGCCCCTCCGAGGGCTTCCCCAAGCCCAGTAACCCCACGCGCGCTTGGGGGAACTCAGGCTGGGTGGCTACGGCTCCCGTTTTCCAGGGGAGCTCGATTCTCAGGTGCTCCAGTGGACAGACCTACGGCCGGGAGCACTGGGCGCCTCAGGGCATCCCAAGCGAAGCCCCAAGTGTCTAACCCTGGGTGCACTAGTTCAAAGGAGCCTCCCCCAGGATCACACCTGCCTGGGGCAGAGCTAGGAACCGAGCCCAGCCCCGTGCGCCACCCAAGGGCCCCTCCGGCCCAGAGAGCAGCCCACTGCAGGCCCCCCTCAGGCTGTGCTGTGGCACCGCAGGGACCCACTGCCTGTGCTCAGCCAGCGCCGGGGGAGCGCCGCACTGCGGGGGAGCTGCGCGAGCGCCAAAGCGAGAACACACAAGAGAACAGCGTAAAGAGGGGAAAAGAAGAAGGTGCGTACCGGGAACGGCTCGGCCCCCTCCTGGATCACAAACCCTTCGATAACATGCGTCAGGACTTGGGGTTTCACAATGGCCTGGGGTGGTTTATTCTCACCATTCTGGGGGGCAGTGCCAGCGACGGTAGAGGCAGAGTTTCCGTTCCCTGATGTCATGCCGGGGCTGCTGGGGTCGTTCTGCACATGAACACAGTCCTGTCCCGGCTCTGCAGGGAGGAGAGGAGATTGAGCTGCCCAGAGACACAAATACTCAGCTAGTGACACAGCCACAGAGCACACACATGCGCGCACACACAGCCAACCAGCCAGCACGCACGGCATGCACGCAGCACACACACACACAGCCAGCGCACACACGCACAGCCAGCGCGCATGCAACACAGAGAGCCATCCGAGAGCGCACACAGCGCGCACACACACACACACAGAGCCAGCCATCTGAGAGTGCACGCAGAGCGTGCACACACACAGCCAGCCAGAGCACGTAGCACACACAGGTGTGCGCACAGAGCCAGCGTGCACTCGGCGCACACACACACACACACGCGCGCGCGCACACACGCAGCAGGGAGGAGCAGGCGGGGCCAGGCCCGTCCCCTGGCTCCGGCGGGAAGGTGGGCATGCGGCCAGGCGGTGGATTTCAGCAGCCTGTGTGGGACCCGCCCCTCTGTTCCTTTGGCGGGGCAGTAATTACCATACAGCTGATTCCCCAGCTGCCCCCCTCCCAGGCAGGATGAATGGGCCGAGCGCAGCACATCACGTGGCACCCCCCCCGCACCAGCCGGCGCACACAGGCTGGATTGTATGGGGCTGAATGCTCTCCCGGCCCCCCCCGGGGCAGAGTCAATGGGCAGCACACGCTCCCCTCCAGCTGGGGCTCTCCCAGGCACAATGGACAGAGGGGGCACCAGGAGGCCTCAGGCAGCTGACTGCGCTGTGCCCGGGGGAGCGGGGAGGAGAGGCCCAGCCTCCGCGGGGGATAGGCTGAACCACCCCATCACTCCTGGCACACAAGCCAGGAGGGCGCCAGGCCCCATTCTGACCCTCCTTCAACTGAGCCCTCCTGGCCACCTAAGCTCCACTCTGCCCTGGGAGGCTCAGCTGGCCAGGGCAGGGGGCTGGAAGCAGAGCCAGCTGGGCCGGGGCACCAAGGGGCTCTCTGCCCAATGGGGGAGCAAATCCCCTGCTGCCACAGCCCCTGGACACTGGCCCAAGTGCCCCTGCTCCCCAGCACAGGAGGGCTTCTGAGGGGCAGGACCGGGCCAGTTCTGAGAGGAAGGGGAGGAGAGTGGCAGAAGTCTGTGCCCAGCAGAGCAGGCGAGGAGGGGGGCTGGCTCTGCCCTGGCTGCCTTACTGGGGTGTTTGGCATGTGGGGCCCACAGACAGGCTCTGGGGCCCGGGTGCAGAGAACGCAGCCAAAGCTCGCGGCAACACAGGAGGGCTTCTGAGGGGCAGGACCGGGCCAGTTCTGAGAGGAAGGGGAGGAGAGTGGCAGAAGTCTGTGCCCAGCAGAGCAGGCGAGGAGGGGGGCTGGCTCTGCCCTGGCTGCCTTACTGGGGTGTTTGGCATGTGGGGCCCACAGACAGGCTCTGGGGCCCGGGTGCAGAGAACGCAGCCAAAGCTCGCGGCAACGCACAAGCCCAGCTTGGCAGGCCTTGGCCTAGTCCCACAAGCACCAGCACAGGGACCACCAGCCGCCCTCTCCCTCCTCCCCCCGCCAGAGCATGGAGGCCCCCCTGGGCGAGAGGGTCAGGAGCGCCAGGACATGGAACTGGGGCCAAGGGAGCCCGGCCCCTCCTGCTCAGGCGGAACAAGAGGCCACATGTCTGAGCGGCCTGTCCTCCCCGGGGCCCTGCGACAGAGGTTGCTAGGCGGGGAGAGCGCTCAGCGCCCACGGTGCTCCTGGGCCACGAGGACAGGGCTGGGAGGGCACGGCCAAGGGATTTACACCAACAGCCGGCCCTGGACGTGGGTTTGTTTTAGCAGCAAGGCGCCCGGCCTGGCCACCTTTCCCATGGCCAAGCTGGGCCACCCCCGGTCCCCACCACGGCCTCTCCTCTGCGTGTGTGCAAAGAAACCCTGGGGCAGCGCCAGGGCTGAGAACGCCGCCCAGCAGCTCGGGGCAAAGACGTCTCCCTGCAGGGAAGCTACCCTGGACTACGCTCCCCAGCGTCCCGCACAGGAAGTGGCGGAGGGCTCCCGAGCAGCCAGTGCAGCAGCCCAGCAGGCCCCTTCGGCGTCCCGAGAACGGGCCTCACGCAGGCACCGCCCCCGCCACTGTGACATCAGCGCACCTTGCGTCCACGTCTGCCACCCCCCCACGCATGCGCCAAAGGGCACGTTCTCTCCTCCCCGTGCAGGGCAGAAAGGGAGTCGCCGGCCTGAGCTAGAGGACGCTCACAGGGCCTGCGGTTTCCCTCTCGAGGCTCTGAGGTAGGCCCCCTGCCGCACAGCGCTAGCGCCTCCCCCCTCCCCCGCCTTCCCAGCAAACACCCGTGCTCACACACCCAACACGCAGCAGGCAGGGCCCAGGGCGGCTGAAAGCAGGAGGATCCTGGAAGTGCCGCGCGCTGGCTCTCACCCGCCCCTGCTGGGAGAAGCCTGGGGCAGGGCCAAGGGGCTGTGGTTTGACTCACTGCCCCGGAGAGGGGGGAGCGCATTGCTGGCGCACCTGGGGGGAGGGTGCGGCGGCAGTTGTGCAGCGTGCGTGGGCACCGACCGTGCGGATGAGAGGAGCAGACAGGAGTAGGGTGGGGGGAGTAGATGGGGCAGCAAGAGGCAGAAGAGGGGGCTGAGAATCCTAGAAGAGCAGGGATGGAAGGGGCCTCTAGAGATGGTCTGGTGACAAGTCCCCCCCCCCCAGCCAAGAAAACACCTGCTGTGCAGATTCTGCAATACGAGGGCTCCCCACCTCTGCCCAATGGAACTGGGGCTCCCCCCGGCCCCCTGCAGTCGCAGTCCCAGGTCCCTTGGGCAGTGCCCACCAGAATACCAGGCACCCAGGCCGATGCATGCTGGGCTGGAACCCAGAGAGACCCAAGCAGACCCTACCGCTCGGCCCCACGGGGAGGCTGCTCTCAAACCCCCGAGATCCAGGGCTGACTGGCAGAACACACGCGAGGGTCAAGGGCTCTGCCCCTCGCCGGAGGAGGAAGGACACGACCCCAGGATGAAAAGGAAGATTCACCGGGACATAGCAGCAGGAGACTGGAGAAGCTGGGCGGGGGATGGACCGACCCTGGAAGCGGCTGGAACCGTGAGGCTCGGTACAGCACCCGCAACACACGGAGCCTGCACAGACCAGGGAGTGGTGCCACTCAGAGCCACACAGACAACAGGGACAGTGGAGGGCACCAGCACGTTCAGGGTCACTGATCAGGGAACAATGGCTCTGAGGGGGAGGTTGCCTCGGCTGCAGGGGGTTTCTAGAGCAGAGGCCCAAGGAGACATCCTCACAGGAGATCTGGGTCAAAGCAAGCGACAGGAGGGGG